GGTTACATGTTACACTGTGCCAGAGGAATAATCATAATAATTATTATTTTCCAACCATCATAGTTATGTTTTTCATGTATGTTGAAATGACAGCAAAGATTTTGTAATGTGGAAAAAAAAAGAAACAGGATTCTGGTTGTGTGCTTGTATGCATTAGTTGGCAGTGAAGCTTTTTTTTTTTTTTTAAGTGCTTGTCCAGTGGAAAAGGTACACTCTTGCAGTAGCTTGCTATCTGAGAATACTTACCACAAGGCCTGTCACACTTCAGTAAGAATTTCCCTCACCTCTCTGGTACCCGCTGGCTTCCTGCTGTGGTGCAGTCAGAGGGCAACGCAGACACACGAAGGCACACATACTCACACACTCACACGGTCATACTCATACGCCAACGCTTATACAAACCCACAGTTATGAAGAAGCCTATATTCACACCTTGTCAAGATGGGGACACCATGTAGCCTTTGGTTTAAACCACAGAAGCCTAGATATATTCATTTGCGTCACTAGGTTTGTTCATATTTTACATAAAAACAAAACTAGGTGTGTTTGCAAATGTCTCCTTGTTGCTGCGGCTTGGGTTATAGTTTGATAACACACATTTATAAGGCTGCGTCTTAACTTGTGCACTAACTGATGTTTATCTTTACCAGAGAGTTATTACCACTTAATCTTTTGTTTTTTGGTAAATTGTAGCTGTACAGCTTTGATTAGTGGACTCACTGAGTGCTGTCCCCAGCTAAATGGTTTACATGATCCCTCAGATCACAGACCTCAGACAGCGTCTAGCCGAGTCCCAGAAAACTGTGCTTGAGCTAGAGGCAGAGCGAGAGCAGAGGCAACGCGACTATGACAAGAAGCTGTTGCTGGCCAAGTCCAAGATTGAAAATGTACAGGTGAGAACACAAGCGCACAAAGCCCAGGTGAAGTTGGCAGAAACATTTCAATGCCAGGACAGAAATACAAAGACAACACTACAAGGAATGTGTTTTTGGTGTGTGTGCGTTTCAGGGGGAGAAGGAGTGCCTCAACTCTGAGACCACTGAGCTGAAGCAGAAGATTCGCTACCTGCAGGACCAGCTGCTGCCCCTCAGCAAGCAGAGGGAGTACCAGGAGAAGGAGATCCAGCGCCTCAACAGGGTCAGTATGGGGGCAGATTCAAAAAGAGAACTGTGAGAGACGCTGCCATTTCTTTCTGTGTAAGACTTGATTTGTCTTTCTTCAGGCTTTAGAGGAAGCCTTAAACCTGCACCCCCCTTCATCTTCCCAACAACCACCTGGCCAGGGTAACTTTGCTGATGCAGCCAGTAACCTGAAGAAACAGGAACTGCTTACTCAAATTGCTGTGCTAAAAGAACAGGTCTGACATACAAGAAAACACAAATGCAGTTCTGTTGCAATTATACATTAATTTCCTTAACTGCTTTTAATCATCATTTTGTGTTTCAGGTGAAAATCTTTGAAGAAGACTTCAGAAAAGAGCGGAGCGACAGGGAGAGAATGAATGAGGAAAAGGAGGACCTGAGGCGGCAAGTTGAAAGACTCCAGGGTCAGATTACTAATTTGACCAATCAGGTAAGATGTGGGTTTACAGTGTAGTCTCCTGCTTGTGGTAGGATCAGGAAAGATTTTCCTCTTGTTTCTTGCATCGAGTAAGAGTTCAAACTGAACTGCTTTCTAATGTGGGATTTGTTTTTCATTGTGTGTCTGTGGTTCAGCTCCATCAGGCACAGAACGAATGTCAGAGAGAGCGTACAGAGAGATGTAAGCTGGAGAGACTGCAGATGCAGCATCACAAACAGGTACTGGCTGCAGCTCAGGTCTGAGCCTGGTAGCGGTGCAGACATGTTTGATAATTTTGGCTGTGCTTTCAAATAGGTTTCATTTGGGCCAAGTCATTCACTGAAAGTTGCACTTTAAACCTTTGGGATGCATTATGATGCAGGATAAACCTTGCAGAGTAGTGCCCCCTTGTGACAGTTTGCAGTCACTAAGCTGTTGACTGTAATAAGTTCATACTGTACTCCAGGACAAGAGCCTCACTCCAGCTAGTTTGTTTGTTGGTGCATTCGGGATCAGGATCAACATTTATACTCCTCAGTGGGAGGCAGCAGCAGCAGCAGCAGGGTTGAAGGTCAGCAGGGGCCCATGCCATAACAGGGCCCCTGCACTCGCTGAGAGTAGCATCCGTGCACTGATTGGGGATCACGTGTGTACTTGTGATCCATCGTAGGGGCAGCAGCAGGAAAGACGTACCTCAGACCCCACGTCAGGCTCAGTGAACGGCCCGCTGAGCCCTCCCTACTGTGGTCCCTTTGTGCAGGTGGGACCGCAGGGCCTTGAGGGCTGGCCCATACACTTCCCTCCTCGGATGCCCAATGCAGCAGGTGCCGCAGCCGCAGCCGCCGCAGCACCGCCCCCCGCACCAGACCTCCCACCCGGTAACCCCGCCGCCCCCTGTACGAGACTTCCAGCCTGTTACCCCGGTAAGGGTCCTCTAAGGCCCCTCTGTCTTTGTCTCTGGAGTGACTGGTTCACTAAGGAAGCAAGGCTCTTTCTGTTCACTTACCTATAATCCCCTTATCTGAGGGGAGGAACACGCAGATGTATTTAGGTTTAACTGCAGCACAACATAGCCATTCAGTACAGTTTTTAGGTTATGGCAAAGTTAATCAGCTGTTGGTTGTGATGAATGAGGATATTTAGTGATCTGAATTAAGCTGGTAATTTGTCTTTGGTCAGGGTTTTCCTTGGCAGTCATCATTCCCACAGCCAAGAGGGGCCAGAGCAGTAGGAGAGAGTTCAAGACCACCACCAGAGAATGCAGGTATGGTAATGCCAGCCAAGTACAGTATTTGATTCTTTGTAGTTTCATATCAATAATATGTTTGTGCACTGTTTAGCTGCTCAAAAACCATGGCTGGTGTTACTCTGTTTTTCCTTTTTGTCAACAAAATGTCATGGGGAAACAGTCATAGCGTAGTTTCTGTTTCTTAATACTTGTTAATTTCCATTTGCACCAATAGAAGATGTGTGTAAATCTTTAAAAATAGGTCATATATATATAGGTGACATTTATTTGTATGAGTGAGAAGTTATGGCATTAGGGCGGATGAAGCAGCATCACCCAATACTACTCCCACTATTCATTTTTAGAGTGTGGCGCAGCGAAGTTAGAGACTGTGCAAATAATGCAGCCTTTTCTAACTGTATATCTGTAGATCAGTCCGCAGCAGCAGCAGCAGCAGCAGCAGCAGGATTTGGGAAAAGAGAGCGACAGAACATTGACCCTGGAAAGCACTAAAGAATCACTGTACCCAATTAATGGAATCTGGGTAGTAGCATGAAACCTGTTTGTTTTTGAGTTGACAAGGTGTGATTTGATCTATAATTTTCCTACTGAACTGTAGATATCCTATTGTAATGTTGTTTATACTTGCGTTTTATAAGGCTATTGTGAAACACTTCGCTATTCTGAATATATACATGAAATATTATTTTGATTTTTCTTTTTCATCATGAACTGAAGTCCTTTATTAAATATGTTGGAATAATTACCATTGATTTTTTTTTTCCACTCCAGAAAATATGCTTATGTGATTGTCTCTCTGCAAATATGTAACAACCTGACCTGTAGTTTGTTACTTGTAGGGTTACAGGAAGCCATTCCCTAGTAAAACTAAGACTACATATACAGTACACATTCCAACAATGAATGATTATATAGGAACATCAAATTATCGAAGTAACAATATGAATGTTGATTGGTTTGATTTATAAAGATTTCTTCAGTGCCATGAATGTTAGAGAGCCGTCCCATATGTGTAACTGTTCAAAAGTGGTTGTTTGAAATACAGAAATTTTGGGAAATGAATTTTTGATGGTATCATACCAAAAACATGATTGTGATTATTGATTATTTATAACCTGCTGTTTTGATAGTCGCATTGACTAAGTGTAACTCATTGTCTTTAGTAATGCTGTTCTTTCTATGTTGTTAGTGTAATCCCAATATATTGTAGTTATTGACATTGTATGTTTGTGTCAGACACAATACACAATGCACAACAC